TTCCGAGGTAGACTGGACTAATAGTGGGTTAATCTCTGCATTTAAAAAGGAACTATCTGAAACTATGCTGGATGAGATTGCCGCCAAAGACTTACTCAAAAACTTAATGAATTTATCACTTTTGTCATGCAAATTGATAATAGATTGAGAACCAGAGAAGTTACTAGAAACAAGACCAGACACATGAATATGCCTTTAGCACCCCACTTCTCCAAACCTATTGTCCCTGAATTTCCTGTACAGTCCAAACCTGAACCCATGGAGTTGGGGGTCACTAGACTGTAGGAAGCAGAAAGACAATATAGGAGAAAAGAAGGCCTATGTCTATACTGCAGTAGAAAAGGACATATGAGAAACAATTGTCCCATACGTCCGGAAAACTACCGCACCTTAAGGGGACAGGTCTTAGGTGTAATGGAAACGTCCTCTGGAATGGATAAAAATAGGTTTCTCCTTGATATTACTATTGCCTTTGAAAATAAGACCTTTTCATGCAAAGCCCTGATGGAGTCAGGTGCCGCTGGAAACTTCATTGACGTTCAATTTGTTAAAGGTAATACTATACCTATCAAGGAGAGACTATCACCCCTAGCTGTTGAAGCTATTGATGGGAGACCACTCTCACAACCAATGATTACACACGAAACCTTACCCATTAATGTGTCCATTGGTGCCTTACATAAGGAAGAGATTACATTTCAGGTTATTGCATCCCCTTCCTGTCCGATCATATTAGGCTTTCCATGGCTTAACAAGCATAACCCTCATATTGACTGGGATAATGGGGAAATATTAGAATGGGGTAAGGATTGTTATGAAAGGTGTATATTGAATCTTGTCAAAAGAGTGGGCACTGTTGGATTACCCACTAGTACACCTCAAAACCCGGAAATCCCTATACAGTACCAAGACAATTGGTCCGAATTATTACCATGGGCCGCGTTTGCTAGGAAAAATGCTGACCATGACTCCTCTGTTAATAGTTTATTTTTTGTTAATAATGGCCGGCATCCTACTGTCCTACCGGCTGTTTTTTCTGAAATGGCTATTCCTTCTTTGGATGACCGTCTGGCTTCCATCCGTGATACCTGGGTTAAAGTTCAATCTGCTCTGGGTACTGCTGCTGACCGTTTCAAGCATTTTGCTGATAAACGTCGAGGTGCCAACCCTGTTTACCAAGTGGGTGAGAGGGTTTGGTTATCTTCTCGTAACATCAGGCTCGAAGTCCCTAGCATGAAATTTGCTCCTAGGTTCCTTGGACCTTTTCATGTCCTTCGTAGGATCAATCCTGTTTCGTACTCTCTGGCCCTTCCAGCCTCCTTGAAAATTCCTAATATCTTTCATGTGTCCTTGCTCAAACCTCTTGTTTGCAATAAATATACTGTCTCAAGTGTCCTTCCTCCTCCCTTAGTTGTTTCTGGACAGGAAAAGTATGAGGTCTCCTCCATAATTGATTCCAGGTTTTCTCGGGGCACTTTACAGTACTTGGTGGATTGGAAAGGTTATGGACCAGCTGATCGTTCTTGGGTTCCGGCATCTGATATACATGCTGGCCACAAGATTCGCTATTTTCATGCCAAATTTCCTCTCAAACCTGGTCCTGCCCGCCTGGTGGGCGTTCTTCAGGTGGGGGGGGTAATGCCACGTGTTAAGATACCCCTGGTGTCTTTAAGAGAAACCGCTGTTTAGTTCACCTTCCCCTTTTGCAATATCAGTAATCCATTTGCATAAACTGTAATCCATGAACCATAACCAGGGGAAGCGGTAATCTCCCGACCGGGATCCGTGAAAGGCTCCAAACTTCCGAACAGAAATCCACGAACCGCCGCTAACCGCCGAACAAAGATATCTACCAAGCGGCTTTCGGTTCCAATAATCAGTCTCTAGACGCAAATAATAAATCCCCCCAATAATGAGACAGAAGCTCAGCATTGAGGGTCAAACAGGATCTGGCTTTACTGTGGGCTACCTGCCCGTATTTATGCAGGTCTCCCACTTGGTGGACACTCCCCTAGGGGACCAAATGGGAGACTGAAATTAGAGATGGACATGGGGACAGTTCAGACATACAATCACAGGCTTTTCCCACAATGCAATATGGTTTCCTCCCCTCTGCCCTGGAGATAATTGAGAAGTAATTCAATTATCTCCAGGACAAAGACAAATCGCCATCTTAAATACAATACCAGAAAATACATAAAAATACATAACTTTAAAATAACCGAACATTTCCCATTCGCATCACATATCCCCAGATAGCCTGGATCTGAGTGCATATTATTGGCGAATAGCGCTCAGATCCAACACACATAGTTCAATCGCCATGGAGTCAAAGTTCTTACAGTCCTTCGGTATACGAATGACTCCATGGGAAGGCTATCTGGGTATCCTTTCGTATGCTTCAAAACCTCCCGAACGGCCGGTATTCGTATGCTTTCGTGGAGGCAGCCAGGCGTTCCGTTGTTTCAGCGGTGTTCGGCAGAAAAAGTGTCCGTTTTTAGTTCCATAGAAATAGAGCCAAACACCGCTGGGCTTTCGCGTGGTTTAAAATGGCCGCTGCCTCTTGGTCGACATACGAATGACGACCACCCTGAATTCGTTTAATTGAGAAGTGTCTGCGGTTAACCACAACGTTCTAATTGGGATCAATAGGTTAACCAGCAGCACACTTCTCTCTTGGGTGGCCGTCCGTTCGGTAGGTTTGTTCGGGAAAAAAACAGTCATTCGTATGGCTGGGCTATAGAACCAGCCATTTACACGAAAGGGGGCAGAAATAGACGAATCCACCACAATAGACAGGCAGATGGTTCTGTCACACAGTCGTTAGAGGAGCCAATAAGGAATCCAAATTTCGTTCCAGGCACCAACTAGTCCATGTGCCCCAAGCAGCTCTATAACTTTGTCTCATCCTGGGTGCCCATGCACCCTCGAGAAGTCTAAGAGTTGATTGTGGAACTCCATTGATGGGCCAGGGTCCCCTGAAACCAGCTATACCATGAGAGGTAACATAAATTGGAGTATCAGAGGATGATTCTGAACATCTGGATCTTGGAGAAAATAATCGAGGGATGAAAGGAGGCATGGGTAGTCCATTACTATCTCAAGTAGAGGTTGGAACCACGGATGGGATGGCCACAGAGGAGTCACAAGCACTAAGGTGCCGCCTTGCCACCGTAGATGAAGAAGTCAACGGGGTATGAGAGCAAATGGTGGGAAAGCGTAGTTCCTCGTGAAAGTCCAATTTTGGGAAAAGACATGTGTTGCCACTGCCAATGGGTCTGGCCTCCAGCTTAAAAACAAGGGGAGCTGAGTATTCAGTCAGGAAACGAAGAGGTCCATTTCTAAGGGACCCCAGAAATCCTTCCGGAAAACTTCGGGATTCAGATGCCAGTCGCTGGAATCCCTGAGGTGTCAGGAATACCAATCTGCTGTAGAGTTTGAGAGGCCAGGGATGTATTCTGCTTTAATCGATATGCCGTGTGTCAGGAAAAGACTCCATGGGTGTGTCAGGAAAATGAGTTTTGTGAAGCACCATGGGGCGGAGGACAATCCAAATGGTAGGAACTTGAACCTCCATTTGCGTCCTTGCCAATTGAACTGTAGGAAGTCTCGATGGCAACTTGCGATGGATATGATGAGGTAGGTGTCTTTTTGGTCCAATTTGGCCATCCAGTTCACCCGCTGTAGCAAATCTCTTAAGCAATGTACACCTTCCATCTTGAAGTCATTGTACATTACATGACGGTTAAGTTGTTTGAAGTTGATCACTGGCTGAACACCTCCTCCCTTTTTGTGAACCAAAAATAAATTGCTTACATAACCAGGAGTACTGAGTGGAGATGGCTTGCTTGTGCATCAAATCTAGTACCTCTGAGGATGAGGTCTCTGTCTAGTTGGGAAAAAAAATCCTCCTTGGTGGTGAACATTGTACAGGCAGAAAAATAAAATCTATGTAACAACCATGTACAGTCTGGAGAACCCGAGAAGCTGATGTAATAAGGGACCACACCTGTGAAAAATTGGTGAGTCTGCCCCCCACAGCAATTAGTGAAGAAAGGTGGATGAAAACACACCATAGGGGTGTCGTCCCAAAGGAGCTCCTCGTGTGCCTCTAGCAACCTATTGCCAGCTACGCTGTGATCAGGAAAATTGTTTCATGTAGGAACCTCATTTCGGTCTATACAAACCTCTTGGATAACAGCCGGACAGACGGCTCCTGGTTCTTCCAGCCTCAACAAAAAACTTAAGGTGGAACACCTGGTTTGAGCCTTATCTAAGGCCGTGAAGGTTGGAACATAGGATCCCAAGTCTTTCATGAAGGAATCTCCAAATAGGATACCCTTGGCCTGAGCACCTGGTTCATTAAGTGCTAGGTTCACCAATTTTGGCTAATTTTTTAAGAGAATAGACTTGTTCCATTCAGTGGCTAGTGCCACATTGGCATTGCCGACCAGGCAAATCAAACGCTGAATCCATCCACGGATGATTAGCGTGTCTAAGGGCTAATCAAGGGCCAAAGCCACTTCCACTGCCTCAAAAATTTTGGCAGCTCAGCCCAAAATATCCAGGATTTTGTCCTGGCAATTACAGAGTGAGATGTCTAGGCCCTTTCTGGGTTTTCAGCCACTCTTGCCTAAAAATTGAGCGATCTTTGGATCAACCCGAGGTGTTTTGCACACTTCGTCAGGTACTGTGGGGGTTTGCACACCCAGACACCAATATAGCCTGCCACATACTCAGAAGGTGACCATTCATCCGAACTTGGATGACGTAAGTCATCGAGGTCAATAAGGGGTTCACCCTGTGGATCTAGAATTCTTTCTGGCTCAGATGACAAAGGGCGACTCACTTCAGTACCTGTAGCTTCATCAAAGGGGGGAGAGGGGATTTCACCGTCCCCTATTACAAAGTCTGACTCAGGGTCAGATAAATCATCGGACAGGTCCAAAGTGGACTCTTGATCATACACCTCCTCATCACTGATTTCTGACTTAGAAGAATCAGGTTGGATTCACACGTGCGCCATCTGTGACAGGTGGTATACTGTCCATCTTAATAGTTTTGGAGGCATGTTTTGTTTTTGCCAGTGCTTTACGGCCTGGCTGAGAGGCAGGCGGTATCACGACCGTCTGAGAGGTCGGAGGGACCGACATTTGAGTGTGTAATAATTCCTGTGTAAACATCTTGGATAAAGACGTAGACATGACGTCCATGGCAGAGGCTAATGCTTTGGACATTGATTTGGACATGGCAGTGTCCAGAATAGATTGCATCTCATCTGAAATGACAAAATCCGCCTCATCGGCAGAGGCCATATGGGAGAAACCCACAGGAATTTGAGGAATAGTCTGTGATCCAGCAGGAGCAGACAGATCCTTATTAGACTTATAGTATATTAATAGCAGACAATATGCTGCCCACCAAATATAATATATATATAAATGAGTACCTAAACCAACTCCCCAGGGTTGAATAACTCACAAGGAGTAAGAAAATATAACGGTTATGAGAAGTTAAGAAGAAAATAGTTTTTAACAAAACTCACTGATAGCAGAGAAAAGGAGCCGCCCGAACGCCAGTACTACTAAACACCCACAGACGTGAGGTGGTTGTTGTTGTCAGGGTAGGATGCTGACATAAGGAGTAAGAGAATATACAAAATTAAATGTACATGACAGGAAACATAAAAGGAAATAAAATATCAAACTAAGTATAGAGAAGGTAAAATGCAATCATAATATATAGAGGAACATAACAGAATACACATATAAAATTGTATTATAGATACATGTCAAAATATGTCAAATATATAAAAACAGATCCCACAGTATGAGAACCATGGGACCCAGGTTCTACTTAACTCAGGGAGCAGCAAAGAAAGAGGAAGTAGTTGGTTTGGCTCTGCTCATTAGGGCTGTGTCAGAAGTTTGCATTGTATTCTATACCTTATTCTTTATTATTTACTTTCCATTATAGTAATCTTTTTAGGAATACCCATCTCTATTAGCAAAAAAAGATGTTTGCCATTTATCCTATATTTTTAAAAATAGGCTCCCTTTATTGTTCATCAAATAATATCCTTTCTCCATTGAGCATTGATAGTTTATCTGATTTATTATTTCATTCCAATTTTGATGACCTTGCTTTTTCCAAATTCTCGCTAAACACATTTTTACTCCCAACATAATATGAATCATTAAATAAGAAAGAGGTTTCTCGCAAGGGAGATCTAAATGGAAAATAAAAAGATGTGGGGTAAAGGGGAACTCTTCCCAAAATTTCTATTAGAAGTCTTCTGCGGTTTATTTTTAAAGTATCTAGCCCTGAATATTCCCACCAAATGTGGAAATGAGACCATTTAGCATTATTGCATCTCAAACATTGGTCGTAATGATCGCTATATATTTTTTTTAAATTTTGTAGGAACAGTATACCACCTATATAGTACTTTGTAATAGAGCTCGATCAAGTTTACACAATGTGTACTTTGCTTAACCAACTTTAAACTTTGTTTCCAAGATTGAATTTCAAATGATTTTTTAAGTTCCCATTTTATTATCAGAGGTTCTTTAATAAAAGTTTTGGATATACAAAGAAATTTGAGTGAACAAGATATTCTCTTCAAAGGGTTGTGATTATCTAAAAATTCAGTAGTGTCGTTATGTTCTATAATTCATTTTTTATCTAAGTAGTTTTTGACTCTCCAATATGTAAACACTTCACTTGAAGCAAGAGAATAGTCAGATTGCAATAACTGAAAGGGAATTAAATTACCGTTAGAGTAAATATTTGATTCTTGATTGATCCCACATCTCTTCCAATTCCTCAAATCCAGAATTTTTATGCTAATTTCTAGTATATCAATGGGGGAGGATAAAGCCAATCCATTGGTTAAATTAAATTTTTCCTTATGTTTTTAATCATAGTCAATGTCGCTCTAGTAATTGGATTCGTTATAATTTTACCTAAGGAACAATGGTTGTCTACCCAGAAACATTCATAAAGTATATCTGTTTTAAAAGCCTGAACTTCCATTCCCTTCCACAAATTGACATCATTAGTATTTTTATCCCAAGCTAGAAAGTGGGACAGCATACATGATTCATGCATAACAAATACATATGGGAATTCCAGGCCTCCATTTTCCACTGATTTTTTAAGGATTTTCTGAGAAATTCTAGGTTTCTTATTCGAAATGGCAGTTTGGAAAAATGCAAAATTTTATTGCTCACTCTCACTGGGATCGTTCTGAGCAAATATATAATCTTTGGGAGCAAATATGCTCTAGTTGATTCTATTTTACCCACCCATGATAATTCAATCTTTGCCCATTTCATAAAATATTTTCTAAATTCATTTAGAAGGCTTAGGTAGTTAGAATTATAGGTCGTCTAGAGAATGAGTGATCTTCACTCCCAAATAATTGATGGTTCTACTTATACATAGATTTAAGCTGGGCCATTTCTAAAAGCAGAACCCCATATGTCAGGATCTGTGTTTTGATTATAATTAATTTTAGATTCGAAAATTCACTATATTCATTTGTCACTTTCATTACAGCTGGTATGGATTCAAGTGGGTTTGACAGGGTCAGAAGGACGTTGTCTGTGAATAAAATAGTCTTGTGTTCCATTTGGCTGATCAGGATTTCCTGTACTACTTATTTTTATAGAAACATATAAACATTTTTGTCTTATTAAGGCCGCTAAGGGCTCCATAGCTAAAATATAGAGCAAGGGAGCTAATGGGCATCCCTGCCTTGTCCCATTTTTTTTTTTTGAATTTTATATAATTCTTTATTTTTATATAATGCTTTAATGTCAGCTCTCACAACAAGAGGACATAGTCTTAAATTAGAGGGACAAAGGTTTACAAATAATATCAGGAAGTATTACTTTACTGAGAGGGTAGTGGATGCATGGAATAGCCTTCCAACTGAAGTAGTAGAGGTTAACACAGTAAAGGAGTTTAAGCATGCGTGGGATAGGCATAAGGCTATCCTAACTATAAGATAAGACTAGGGACTAATGAAAGTATTTAGAAAATTGGGCAGACTAGATGGGCCGAATGGTTCTTATCTGCCGTCACATTCTATGTTTCTATGTTTCTATGTTTCTATGTTAAGATTTTGAGAGACTGAGTCAGATTAATCGTGCTGACATTAGGTATAAGGATTTTATATGAACAAGCTTGAACAAGTTGTGAAAAGACAAGTTTTCATATGTCTAGGTATTATCCACTACATCCCACCGGGAGACCCCTTCTGTGGCAATTTTAGGTTCTCTGAGGGTTAGGGTATGAACATGCAGTATGGTCAGCAGGGTTGTATGTTGGGTGGGTGTAGTAACCAAAAACAGAGATGCAAACAGAAAGAAGATGAAAGAAAAAGGGTGTTCAATGTCTATACTGTAATTTTAGACTCATGCAGGTGTATATCTGAGTTACTTTCTGCTAGTATGGCCATGTGAGAGGTAGCCAGTCCTAGACCATGAGTCCCATAGAGTCCTGTAGTGCCTTCCCCGTCAGCCTATGCCTTCAGGAGTTGTAGGCCAGTCCTGCAGCACGCCGATCAGGTTTTCATGCCAGTGTGGAAGTCGGCGGGCCTGTGGGTACAGGGAGATCGCAGGTATTTCGTTTAGACCGGAAAACGGTTGTTTCCTAGTGCTCCAGCGAAGAGTGTCTCTGTTAGCTGTTCTAGAAAGGCAGTTGAGCCTGGAGGCCGTTCCTTGAGAGGTCGGGGCGCTGTGCCTGTGTGGGGGCAGCCCTGCTGTTTCAAGTTTTGTGGGCGCCTCTTCTGTCTCCTCTGTAGGTTGCGGATGCATCATTTGTACCGTAGGCCCCATCTCCCACTGATTTTCATCTCCAGACGGGCAGGTGAGTGTTGCTGCTGTTCAGGGAGTCCATCAGGGAGTCCCTCTGGCGTGCAGTGCTTAGGAGTGGCTGTGTCAGCCTTCTGCGAGGAGGGTGATGCCGCTGTTACTGCACGGAGTCTGATCCGCTCCCAAAAAGCTGCAGAGATGTGGTCGAAAGCTGTCATAAGGCCCCAACTATGCCCCTAAGGGTCATGTCCCGTCTCCATGTGGGGTGCCAAGTATGAGCCCTGGTGGGCGTACTGTGTGCACCGGTCAGAACCGGGGGTAGGGAATGCAGTGGAAGATGCCGGGATATCACTCACCGGCGGGGGGTGGATCGAGGTATCTTACCAGGGCTTTCTTAGTAGTTTGTGGGTAGATGGATCGGCCGCCTCTCTCACTCCCGTGTCGCGTGGTAGGCCGCAACTAGGCCTCAAGCTTGCTCTAGTGAGCTGCTGACCAGTTGATGAGGTGTCAGCAGCCAGATTGGTAGCTCTGGGGTTGCAGTGTCACAGCAGGATCTTCTGGTGTCAGGTTGGCATAACAAGAGTCAGTTTATGAGATTATAATACAAGAAATCTCCAGGAGCTCATGCTGCATGCGACCGCTCGCCATGCCAGTCAAGCCCCGACCCCTCGCCTTGTCCCATTTTTAATATAGAATTATTTTGATTTCATAGCCGGGCCAATAACCTTTGCTGTTGGATTTGTATACACTAACTCTAAAATTACCTATTAATCCAAATGTTTGTCAAACCAGATCCATGCATTGCCAGTTCAACCTATCAAAGGTTTGATATTTTTAGTATTAACTCTATGAATTAGGTTAAGGACTCTGCAAATGTTCCTGTTCCTGACGAACCCCACTTGATCACCGTGAATTAAAGATGGTATTATCTCTAGTAATCTCGAAAGGCATTAGAAATACTTTGTGGCAACAAAAATGTTTGGGTATCTACAAGAATTTTTTTGTATAATTTCTGTCCTACATTTCTGTTTTAATCTATTGTTAAATATTCTCCACTTCTGTTTTACACGTTGGATATTTTTGTTACTATTATCTAATATCTTGTTCTTTTTTTGTTGTCTTATTTTCTTTACATCCAATAATAACTTATTGTTTAAGTTATTCTTGTGTTGCCTCTCAGTTTCTATCAATCTTATATAAAGTTGTTGCAAATTTTCACTTTTGCTTTTTTTTTTTATAACTGAACCCATTTTAATGCATAATGCCTTCATAATGCATTTAAAAGTATCCCAAAGGGTCACATCTGAAACTTCTCCATTATCGTTTATTTGTAAGGCCCTCTGTGCTTCCTTTCATAGCAAATCAAATTTTTTTTCTGACTTTAAAAGATCTTCGTTCAGCCTCCATTTGGCCAGTGTTTGTGACTAAGTGGCTACTAAAAAAGACTAGACATACCCCGTTTGCAATACCTTGGGTTGTCTACTATTGCAAATCGT